ATATATATATATATATATATATATATATATATATTATTTATATATATTTATATTATATTTGTATATATTTATATTTATATATATTATATATATATATATATAATATATATATATATTTATATATATTTATATATATTTATTGTATTATATTATATATATATATATATAACTTATATATATATATTATATAATATTATATATATATATATTTATATATATTTATATATATTTTAATTTATATATATATATATATATATATATATATATATATATATATATATATATATATATATATATAATTTATATTTATATTTATATTTATATTTATTTATATAAATATACATGTATGTATATATATATATAATATCTAAAGATACCAGGGGTTGGCATTTATATAAATATACATGTATGCATATATATATAATATCTAAAGATACCAGGGGTTGGCAAAGGGCATTTCTTCAGTAGTTTTGGTACTGGCCCAAAAAAGCAGTAGCAGTAGCAATACCACTCACTTCAAGTACCATTTGTAAGATAACCAGTATTACCATGCAGTGCTTCATTTTACCAGAATTAACCTTTATGTGATTATCATTATTTGAAATTATCAAAATGTTAACATGTCTCAGTTTTTTGTGTGTGATGTAATATAGCTATGGTATTCACATTATTATTACAGAAGCACTACTACAATGATATATGAGCATTGTGTTTCAATTTGTCATTGATACCTCAGAAAGTACTGCTTATTATTACTGCTAGAACATCTCCAAAATGACCAGCAGTATTTCTATTGATATTGGCAAAAAAAGAGTGTAGCACCATTTGTAATACTAAAGAAGTACCCAGAATTATTACCGCTGGTAAAACTGTGTGTGTGTGTGTGTGTTTGTACAAACACATGCACATACAGAACCACACATTCTTGATAAACATTCATGTACCTGTTCACACACACACACACACACACACACACACACACACACACACACACACACACACACACACACACACACACACAAAAATAGATAGATGGATAAAGATATGGATATAGATCCTTGAAAATTGTAAATATGCAGTGTGTTGTGTGAGAGATGTTTAAAAGGTGCCATATATAATAACATGTGCAGTGGTATTTAGCCTTTTGCTAGCTGCCATGCACGTTAGTTTGTTGCCAGCGTGCATGGTGCCTCAGGCCGGGTAATGAGTGGTTGGTGGCGGGACAGCTGTGGTGGTAAGCTGATAGTAATCCGGCACGAGTTTCGTAATGCAGCATAAATGGCTCTTGTCTGGATATGTCATCGTGTTTGTTAGTGGTGTTTATAATGTATGGAAATATGGTAAAACTATTAGCTCAGTAACTTGTATTTACTTGTTTACTGATCTTGCGTAGTTGTCTTGAATCTTTACTGTACCTGCATTCCTCATTTTGTTCATTTGTTGTACAGTTTTTTTTATGGTATTTTAGGCTTTCTTTGTGACTTATATGTTCTGTTTATTTGTGTCATTTGTGTCCTCTTACATACAGATTAAGTTATTACTGATATTTTCACTAACTTTAACTATCACTGTTTTTAATCAGATTTTGCTGCCTCATCTCTTTTCACTTCTATATTAATCAATTGACGTCAGTTGTCAGTCAACTCACCTTTTGATTTGTTGTAACTATATTAATCAGTGTTGCCAATGTCAGAAATTGTAGTTAATAATTTCTCTTCCTATAACTTTTGGTTTTAAAAATTCATGTTCCAGGAGGCGTATTAACAAGGTAATAAACCCTGCATTATGTAGAAGCTAAACCCCTGATTTTGAGAGAGAAAAATTTATCTATAAAAGATAATGCAGGTAGCCCATCCTTGGCAACACTGTCAGTACATTCTAGCCCCACCTCCCATGTTGTGGTTTCGACGCGGTTCAACTAACCTGTGTTCTCCCATCTCTCTCCTCCCCCGTACTGTGTGGCAGCCGCGACCTCACCACCAGGTATTTGTGTTCCCTCAGATTCCCCTCCACGTAGTTAACATGGTGATGCCCTGTCTCCCCCCAAAAGTGTCTTGTCTATAAACATTGAATGCATTGACTATTCCAGGAGGAGTAATAATTAGTCCCTTTAATGCTGTGCTCATTCCCCTTAGAGGGTTTAAACTGCACAACATGGCATGCCATTGATGCTGTTACATCTCTCTATGCCTATTAAGACAGTTTTAATAAAGCTGGACTCTTTATCTGTGTTGGAAAATTGTAAATACTGATTACCTACTGGACCTGCAAGATGCAAAGTTACCAGGCACTTTATGTATTTATATTTTTTCTCTCCCTTTCTTCTTCATGAATACAAAGTTAGATAGGGAACTGCATAGATTTTCAATCTTAATTTTCCTGCACAGAGAGAAAGGCGTAATTTTTTCAAGCTCAGACTTGGAGGTAGACTGTAGTGTATAGGTCTTGAGCTGTGGAGAACTAAGCGTCAAAGAGTCCTGAATTGTTATGTCACTGCTGTAAATCTTTATTGTATTTATGTTTGGCCTTAGCCTTGCTTTACATCATGCAGAGCTTGTATAGTCTTCATTTTATTGAATAGAACTAGCTTACAGACATCATTTTTTTTTCTTTCTTTCTTTCTTTTTCTTTTTCTCTTTTTCTCTTTTTCTTTCCATTTTTCCCCATTTTTTTTTTTTTCACATATGTATACCATCAAAATGAAGTATCTATTAATACTTTTTTTATTGCCAGCTGCTTGAGATGCCAAGATAGAGCATTAGATTATTATTCATATGTTGCAGGGTAGTATTAAACTGATATATATTTTTAGATAAGCTCAAATCTGCCTAGTGCTGCACAGTTTCTCAATATGAGTAATCCGAGAGCATTAAATTGGCATGTTATTTTAGGTAGTTTACAGAATATTGGTAGGTCCTGCATATGGGACCCCTTGCATGTTAGTAAACTATCTCAAAATCACCTAAGGAAGTAAACTTGTCTATACTTTGTAGTTCTATGCTATTGTAAACTACACATTGGTTAGCAGTGTATTTGAAGCTACAGAAGGAAACAGATTTTGAAAAGTTGAAATATACTTCGCTCGTGGCTGTGCAGGCAGTGCAGTTCCGATCAGAGATTACGATAAATCAGCAAGGATGTTGCTACCGTTTTTGACTGATCATGAGGACTGCTACTCAGAAATTATTACAGTTAAGCTTTCACATGAAGGAAGTGGGTACCTTTTCTGAAGTGTTCCTTTGATATACCTAAGGAACTTTGTACTAGAACCAGTACTCTGTTACCAATAACAGTCCTCTTATCTGCAGATATTATTTCATACCTATTTTATAACCTTTTAGGTGTTACTACATCTTTTATAGTAACAGTAACACAAGCTGTTGAGTGGTTTTTAGATAGGAGTGTGTTTTTGTCTTTTTTATATGTTAATACATCTTGTTTCTGGTTTGGCAAGTTAGATGGTCAGCTGGACTTTTTTTTATTGAATATTATATTCTTGTTTTTCAATTTATATTTAAGCATTCTCTATTATGGTCTTCCTGGAACTGGGTGTTTTTGAATTTACAACTAGTACACTTTGATGTCTGCCTTCTTTGAGGTGGATAAATGTTAATGATGAGATTTCCTTACATGGAATTCAGAGAAGTCCATTACTTTCTTCGCTCCCAGTTGGTCACATGTTGACTCACCTCCACCACAATCGCCCAGTCCATTTGTTAACCTGTCTCCCTCATGGTTTCCCTCTAGTAAAGTCCTTCAGCCTGCGAACCGTGACCTGACGTTTCTTAGATGCGGCAACACTGTTTACCGCCTTGAGGAGGATACGGTATATGTGGTTGGCAGCAATGATGAGAGTGTTTGGAGTGACCCTAACATAGTCAATGTTGAGGGCCTCTCCTACTCTTGTAACAGTACAACCACAGATGAGTCCCAGAAGTTGAAAGAATATTTGCTTGCCACTTGGCAACATCTGAGAGTGAGTCCCGCACAAAATTATGATCCTGTGCTCAGGTAACATTACGATATACTTGTGCATGAGTTCTGGGAGTAGCAGTAACATAAATTGTAGGTAATGTTCGGCCTGTCGATATACGCATCACTGATAGGGCGTCTAAATTTTGAATAATAATTTCATTAAATAGATGTGAGATTTTCATGCTTCGGTGGTAGTTCACATCTAGGCAGAAATATAAAAGAGTAACCAAACTGGAACATAGTAAGTGTAAATTGAAAAAAGAATAGTGATGTAAAACATCCTGCAGAAGTAACAACACTTGAGTCAATAAATCATCTCCTGAAAGTCCATTAAATGGTTAACCCCAACCTCATGATGTAGCTGTTGCTAGTAACGTGATTAAAGTCCCCGAACCAACATGCTGATAAACCAAGAGTAACATTGTGATAGGAGTGGCAACACTCCAGGTGGTAATGTAGGCGAGGATAACGTATAAACTTTTAGTCTAGACTTAAAACTTTTAAACTTGCAAGGCTGCGTTCTTCAGTAGATTAGGACACTCTAAATGTATATTAACTTGCAAGTCTGCGTACTTCAGTAGTTTAGGTCGCTCTAAATGTATATTAACTGTGATAAATTTAAGTCTTATCACTGTAAGCTTATAAAAGAAATGAGATTTAACTTTGTTACAGTATGTTAGTATATTGGATGACCTGACGTAGGGTGTCATTGTAGTCAGTTTTTGACGTTCTCATACAGACAGTGAAGCAGGAGGACATGGCTTGCTCAAGATAAAGGCTATGTACACTTGTATAATCATTGGCTCCCAATGATAAAGGAAAAATACATTTCTTGTCATTGAAATTCATAGTAGTGTTTTATGTTACCGGTTCAAGCATTAACATTTCAAATAAAGTGCCATAATTAACTCTGGTAAACATGGCTGAACACTATATACTTCCTCCTGGCCTAACTGCTGTGCATGATACTGTTGCAAAAATTACTGTTGCTTCTGGTTACAAAATGAATGATGAAGAAGAAAATACATAGTCTGTGTGCAGTCTGACATTCACTGCTACAGTGAGCATCCTCCTTTCATAACACTACTTGATAAAGTTTTTTTTTTTTCTGAATGTCCAACTATACAAGTAAAAAGAGTCTTAATGATGAAACTGCATGTCCTGAGAACGATATAAAACTGGCTGTGGGTACTTTAACTGCAGGTCTCTGTACTCTTGACTCATCTCTTGTGTTTCTGTTTTGTAATCTATGATGAAAAATTGTTATCTTTTAGTATTGCATTCAGTACCACTTCATAATTGTATTCAGTCCCTTACTCTATTCCCGTCAGTAACAGCTCTTCATACTTTAAACTCTTTTAAACCCATTTACCTTATTTTATAAACATTTTTATTTTATTCCTGTACAATTCCTCCAGCCAAGTTCTTTCATACTATTGTATATTTTTTCTCATATATTTAGTTCCAATTCTATGAATATTTTGAAAACCATTTGCATTATCCTTCCCAATCCTAGTTTGCCCTTGGTATTGCTGGTCCCTACTTTCACTTTCCATCCAGCATCCACGGTCACCTGTACCATTTAAAGGACATTCTCTTCCTTTCTCATCGGTATTCTATTATCCCTTCAATATTGCCCATATACATCAGGTCTGGGTGCCTTCCCCAGAATTGTCTACCCATGCCCTCATATGATGGAAGCCATCACTTCACAAGTACCCTTTTACCATACATCAAGTGCTCCTCCTCAACTCTTGCAAACTATCACCTTACAAAGAGTTCCAGTATGGCATATCAGGGCTCTCCCGCACAAGCTAACCTTACAGTTTCCCCTCAGGGATGGAGCTATCTCGGTGGTCAAGATCCTCCGTGTGCTCCGTGTGCTGAGGCCACTCAGGGCTATCAACAGGGCCAAGGGTTTGAAGGTGAGTTCTGCTGATTCATCTTACTCTCAGTTAAACAGAATGGCTCAGATATGGAAGCTAATGAACTGACAATATTAAATGTGTTGTTGGAAATTATCATGAAGATGCAAGTTGGTGAATTTTTTTATGTATGTATGACATGTTTATGACTACAAAGCTTCTTTTTCAAATAAATCTTTCTGCTTATTTATTCACAAATAGTCTTGATACAAAATATACATAGGCATCCTTTGGAAGTTGTGTGGAAGCCTATTTTCATTTGATATTTATTAGTATATTAGCTGGTGTAAATGTACAGACATGGAAATAATCTGAAGGGCAAGTAATGTAATCTCTATTGAAAATGCAGTGAAACATTTTGACTGAATGCTTGGAAATGATTTGTAGTTATTATGCTGATATAAAAATGTATTAAAATCCAAAACATATTTTATGAAGATAATAGAATAGATGTAAATTGCAAGATTAAGAGATTTATGTAATTCACAGCAGATAAAGGATCATGTTTACAGGATATATGTTGTTGTTTTTTTTGTTGTTGTTGTTTTTTGTTTTCTGGCAGATCACATTTTCTTTACACTTGATTTTCAACATATTACTGTACTACTTAAACACACATCTTATGAAACAGTCACATAAACCAAGTCTACACTATCTACGTAATATCTCATTTAACTGTTAGCAGCAAAGAAAACAGAAAGGATGGAAATCTTTGCACAAGATATATTTTGTGTTATATTATTAATTATTTTCCCATGTTTTTTTTTTTTTTTTTTTTCCTCGCTCTCGTGCGTGTGTGTGGCTGTATCGGAATGGTGTGGGCACAAAATAGCATGTAGTTCAGTGCGTCATTGTGGCCATTAAGACCATCGGCAACATCATGCTGGTCACCTGTCTCCTAGAATTCATGTTCGCTGTAATTGGAGTTCAGTTGTTCAAGGTAAATGCAGCACACATTTCTGGAAAACAAAATAATATGCGTGTTTTTCATGTCTGAGTCTCATTGGTTTCAAGGGCTCCAGAGACATTTAGCATACAAACACTTTGTAGTTGACTCAGTATTGATATTATGATTTTTCTATAATTTGATACATGTGCCTTGCTCAGGGTTGAGAAAGGCAAAGTTTCTGTTGTTTATAGTCAGGGGTACAGTATGGAGGGAATCATTTTATCCTTGAAACCATGAGCAGCTGGAGACCTGAAACCTTGTAGCCTAGTGCGTGTTGATGTACGTCTGTGGAGTAGCTCTTAACCTGCACACTAACATCTCCTCATGATCTGTGCACTTCATTGCACAGCAGGAATAAACAACTTCATGACTGAGAGAGAAATCACATAACCAAAGAAGTGGATTTTCTCTGATATTGATAATTGGACGAAATAACATTAGCTCAAAATACTGTCTATTTATTTGGATACTTGTTTTTTTATTTTTTTATTTTTTTATTTATTTTATTATTTTTTTATTTTTTAGATGATGCTGTATGTAGTATTATTTTAGGTCAAGTAATTATTCTGTGAACACAATAATTACCCTACAAAGTGTGATGAAACTGAAAATAGCATAATTCTGATAATTTTCCTGAATATTTTCACTATATTTTGATTTATTTTTCACATGTAAATAAAGTTAGCCTCAAATCGTATAGACTTCTTTGCACATATTTCATTACAATATTTGACAAAAGATGTCGAAGATGTGTTGCAGCACAAGTGGTTTTATATCTTACTGCGATGATTTTGTGATTCTGCGTATCCATACAATAATGTCATCTTCCAAAATTTCTCACTATCTTCATCAGTTAACACTTAAGCAAAGGTAGAAACACACACACACAAACATATATATATATATATATATTATATATATATAATATATATATATATAAATGTATGAATATATAAATATATAATATATAAAATGTATGTATATATATATATGTATGTATATATTATATGTATATATATATGTATTATATATATATATATATATATATATATATTATATATATATATATATATAAATATAAATGTTCATATATATATACACATATATATAACATATATATATACACACATACATATGTACATATATATACAC